TACATAAAGCATGATGAAGCTGATAAATCTAAATCTAAATCCCAAGGAAAAGACACATACTAATAAAGTCTTTTCAGATGTTTTGCTTCCCAAGTTGAAAGGAAAAATGAGCAATATATGAACATGAAAATTCCCGAGGCATATCTCAAAATCAAACAAAAACTCCACTACTAACAAAGAGAGAGAGGAGGGAAAAAAAAAATCACAACTAACCAAACAAAAAACAACTAAACAAGGAAAAAGATTCAAATAGAGGAGAAAGAAAAGAAAAGAAAAGAAAAGAAAAGAAAAGAAAAAGAAAGAGAAAGAAAAGAAAAGAAAGAGAAGAGAAAAGAAAGAAAGAAGAGAAAAGAAAGAAAGAAGGAAAAGAAAGGAAAAGAAGAGAAAAGAAAGGAAAGAAGGAAAGAAGAGAAGAGAAAGGACAGCTAAGGACCAGAAAGAAATCAAAAAAGAACCCCCCCTCCCCAACCTCAAATCGCCACCCGCCCCTATAACTCCAGAAAGCACAAACCCCCCACGCAACTCCGCACCAAGAAAAGAAAAGAAAAAGAAAAGAAAAAAGAAAGAAAAAGGAAGGGAGAGAAAAGTAATCAAGAGAAACTGAAAAACTCCAGAAAAAGTGAGAACATTCCCATAAGCTTCTGCCTCTACCCCTGGAGAAACTGTCTCACCCATTCCCCAGTCTCATTGTTAAAAGAATTTGCTTTAAGACTTTGTTATCACAATTAGCTTTTCCATCATAACTTCTTTTTTTTTTCTTATTTGTTTACTCAGCACAAAGCCGCAGTGAGGTTTATGCTTAGTTTACAATTGACCTACCCTTTTGAACATGCCCAGACAACAGGAAATTGGTTTCTCTGGAAACAGGAGCTACATGAAATCTTTCAGCACTTGTGTTTATTTAAAGTTGTTCCCACATACGCAACAAAGAAACACGTGATTCAACTTTACCAGGCAAGGTAATGAAGGAGAGCACTGCCAGTGACACACCAGGCTGGTAAAATTAACTAGTACAATTTGGATGTGAACAAAGAAAAGCAAAAAGAATGAAATAAAACAAAACAAAGTGACTCAGGGAGTACAAAGTTAAGACAAGGGGGAATCACTTTAAACCAAAAAGAAACAAAAAAAAAAAAAAGAGAGAGAAAAAAAAGGTATATTTAAAATAGACTTTAGGAAGAAATTCTTTACATTGAGGGTGGTGAAGCACTGGAACTGGTTGCCCAGAGAAGCTGTGGATGCTCTATCCCTGGAGGTGTTCAAGGCCAGGCTGGATGGGGCTTTGAGCAACCAGGTCTGGTGGGAGGTGTCCCTGCCCATGCCAGGGTGGCTGCAAATGGGTGATCTTTAAGGTTCCTTCCAACCCAAACCATTCTATGATTCTAGGACTCTGTGAAATATAAAACACCCAGTCTACATATAAAATCACTTAGTGGTCATACTAACAAAGAAAGTCAGAGTAAAAATCTGGGAGACATTTATACTGTGCATCATGAAGATGCAATGCTATCTTTTTGACAATATGGAGGCAGCATGGTCACACATGCTGAAAGCCCCTTTATAGGACAACACAGTCTTTCAGCACCCGCTAGGACTAATCAAACTGGATGAAAATGTTCAAGCCGAACTGAAGACTTCCTTATTTCCCATTATCCCCATGTTTATCTTTTAATGAGCATGGTGTGAGTGCCTAACTTGGATACAGCAGACATGGGGTGAAAGTGATATCAATATTGCACTTCATGCTTTTAGGGAAGTTAACAGTCTCAAGATAAGCATGTCAGAAATAAAATAATATACCAGTTTCTCTGGTACTGCCAACCACAGAGTGGCATTAACATAACTATCTGCTGAGGGTGCTTTAGGACAAAGACTGTGAATAACAGTGGCTGAGGAACCAGCACATTAACATTGCTTTTACTTCCACTGCTGGTGGAACAATAACTTTTAATAATGGTGAGGGCAGAAAGCAAGGACAGCAATATCTTTATTTATGTTTGCTGAATGTAAAAAAAAAAAAAAAAAGAGAGAGAGAGAGAAAAGAAAAAAAAAAAGAGAGAGAGAGAGAAAAGAGAAAGATAAAGAGTCAGAACTCAGATTCCTCACTTCCTCAGCATTTCTTAGCAGATAGCAAGTTTCCTGACATTTCTGATAAAAATCCACCAACACAGCAGCACAGTGATTCCAAGTCTCTGTCAGGCAGCAGCTTCCATGTTCCAAGAAATGAAATCCAAAATTGTTTTGTTTTGAAACCTGGCTGCTGGTAAAACCACTGTGTTGTGATCAGGTTAAAATGGCGACAATGAGTCTTACATAGATTCACCCTTCCTTTTTTTTTTCCCCATGTCCAATGCATATCTCAAACCCTAGCATTTTGTTTACCAGTTGGAAAAAAAAAAAAAAAAAAAAAAAGCATCAATCTTACAGGGGAAAAACTTCAGAGTTATATCACAGATGGGAACACCAGCACCCTTACACCCATGTTACTTCACAGTTCATAGTGTCATTGTCATTGTGCTCAAGATTTCCACTACGATACCCTACTGATATAATATGATATTTTGATTGCTTATTAAAGCCTCCAGTGACTGTGATCATAGCTGCAGTGCACATAAATTGCACAACAACATGCAGTTCATGTCAAAAGAATAAATGAAACTATTTTAAAAGCTCTGTTCATTGTCTAATGATGTCTACCTAACAAACAAAATGTACATATGTAAGCTCAAATAGTTGTGAAATGTATGATTTTAAGACCTCTATCAACAAAACACCTGCACTTTGAAATCTCCAGCTGATTAGAAACTATACTTTAGAAAGTGTGAAAAAGATTGGGTATCAGGAAATGCAATCACTTTGCTGAACAGCACTTTTATAAATATTCTGACCTCAAATATCTTTTTTCCTTTTACTATTATCATTTTTAGAAATCACTTCAAATATTCATAGAAACCATGTTAGATGCCACAATCATTAGCCCAAGATTCTTCAATTACTTTACATCAGAACTCTGTCAATCTTCACGAAAATTAAGACATTTGAGTCCAGAATTTATTCTAAGATATCGGGCTCAATTATAGTTATATATTTGAATGTATATTTCTGTCATGGATTCTCAATTTAGTTAAATTAATTGTCTCAGAAAAAAATAATCAGTTTTATATCTATGTATTTTAAAGGACTTTCTTTTTTTCTATATGTCTCCATCACAATCTGTAATTGCAGTAATCAACATCAGTGACACCCATGATGAATTTCAACATTAAAATTTAAATAAGTTGTAAGGGCACTCTCTTTTCTAGAGTAAAGAAATCCATATGGACAAGTTCCCCCATAACTAGCCCACACTTCAGATGGTTTTAGAAATAGTTGTATTTGAGTGCTGGATTTGAGAATGCTAAACCATGAAAAATGGAAAAAAATCTCTCATGCATCATATTAGGTAATATGAAAATATTGGGAAATATGAAGTTCATGTTACTAAAATCTCCTGAACTTCAGGAAGTCTGTTATAAGTCTGTTATATCATTTATTCATTTGTCGGCTACCTTAATTTTGCCCTAGGCAACCAAGTTGCATTTTAAAGTTAAAATAACAAGAAACATTGAGAATTAAATAGCTGATAGCCTTTTATTTTATTTCCTTTTTTTTTTTTCAAAAAAAAAAAATCTATGTTCTAATTCTTTTTGACTTTTTAAAATATAAATTATTTATTAATCTATTTGGCATTAGAAGCATCATACCAACTGTAATATAAGACTTTGGACAAATTATAGAGTTTTAAAAATAATACTTTTCACAACCTTCACACTTCCTACTTGCAAAGTCCTGGAGATTCCTACAGAATGAGCTAACGTTAAGGTTTTATTTCAACATACGACAGTCTGGATCATTCCTCTGCAGCAACAGAAGAAAGAATAAAAGGAAATTTCCAGAAGAATCACTGGAGACTTTTCCACCAATATCATTTATGTTTGTTTGTGTTTACATATTTGCTCCCTGCACATGAGAAAAGAATCCTTCTCTGCTGCTTTGCTCCATCCACAGTGATCTGTCTTGGACTAGGAAATGCTCTGCATCTTCACAGTGACTCTAGCCACCCTGAACTGGGTTTTCTGCAGAGATAACGTAAATACCAAACCAGTATTACTTCTATATTGACTTGGAGAGAAATGGAAGGAACATTAGCCCTGGGACCAATGAGCAATCTGGGGAACAAGGACTGCTGGGGAGAGGTGGTGCACAGTGATGGGGCTGTATGGACACAGGATGTCAGTCACCTGTAATCATTTGTAGCAGTGAAATCCAAGTCAGATATGAACATGAAAAATCTTCACCATAGAAGTGGTTAAGTATCAGGACAAGAGATCACATAGGCTGTGGGATTTCCATCCTACAACATTTTCTAAACTTTCAGCAGTGATCCCGTATCTTTAGATCTCTTCACAAGCAGTTACGTTTATTTTGTTCATTTTCACAGATTCCTTATTAGTAGTCCACAGATGCTTATGTCTCCATATGTCACACTGAAAACCCTTGTTTTGATGTTCTAATGAAAACAGTTTGATCAGACTTGACTTGTTTTGCAAAACTATCTTTTCTAAAGGTAGAAATTTTCCCTTAGTAGTCTGTGCTCTTTCTGCCTGTCTCTTTTTCTCTCCATTCACAATTTCCCCTTGAATAAACAGCCTATAAACTAATGAACATCACAGATAATTTCTATGTATTAGAATGAGACCTTTTCTCAGTCCATTTTCATGTAGAAAAAATTGAGATATATATTTTTTTCCTTAAAATACTGAAGAATTAGAAAAATCAGCTACTTGATGATGTTAGACAGGTATGAGGAATTCCTATCTAAGAGGTTTATCTTTCTTTATTATAAGATAAGGCATTTAAGTAGAAATTGATATGGAAAAATATATACATTTATGGAGAGAGTTCAGAAATCTATGGCACATTCTACTTATATGAAAGAACAAAGGAATCATTTTAATTACCTGTTTCCATTTTCCCATCTTGTGCTGCAGGCCCATCAGGAATTACACTCTTCACCTGAAGAAACTCATCTGGCTCATCCCCACCAATGATGGTAAATCCAAAACCCATGTTGCTTTTCTTAAGAGTTGTGCTGAGGAAAGTCCCCTTCAGCTGTGATGCATCACGGGTGAAGAGTGGTTTTTCTACATCAGTCAACACAAACAAGAAAGACAAAAGTTCTGATCTAGTCCAACACAGCAAGGAACAGCAGATAACAATATCAGCTGGCAGTAGGTGAAAGTGTATGAAAACAGAGGAAATAAAGAGTGCAGGCATTCCAGGAAAAAAAATATATATATTATTAGTGAGTTTTTATTTTAATACAAAGCTTAAAAAGGGTTTTTATCTATGGCAGATCTGCCATAAGTAAGGAGTTATAAATATTCTTTCATATTAGAAGTGGATATTGTGTAGCTAAAATAATTACAACAATAAAAATGATATGTGAGGTAATCTTAAAACCTCTTTCCTAACCTATAAATTCAGCTTTGTCTACCAAGTAACACATTCTGCACAACTTCCCTCCCACCCACAATAAGAGAAATATCCCCTGTATATGCCATGCCATGTGTTAAAAAGCCGGTGCTAAGTATTAGATATCTTTCCTCTCCAAGCATGTGGGATTCCATGCCTCATCTGGCTGCTGTGATGGTGGTGCCACTTTCGTGTCCCCTTGCTGAGTGCCCCTGTGTATAGTGTGGGTTGCCAGGGGCTCCCGGTGCCTCGTTCCCATGCTTCACTTTGTGAGGAAGGGTAGGAGGAAGGTGCAAAGGTAGTGTCTTCCACTTATCTTGCTAGGTTGGCAGGGGTCCGTGGGGATGGTGGGACGTACCGTACAGCCTGCACGTCCCGGTGGGGCCGCGCTGGCACTGGGACAGATCGTTCACACTGCGGGACCGCTGCAGAGCAGGGTGCGGGTGGGCGAGTTTGGGCCTAGGTAGGGTTGATGAAGAGCTGTCTACTGTCACAAAGAAGAAGAAGCCTCATTCTCTGGCTGTAGCCTTATGTTTAAGTTTATTTGTCTCTACCAGTACTGTCTGCTGCTTACACAGCTCATTGTAAGCACATTAATTTTCACATTACCAAGAGGCTGTATTCTTGTAAACTCCTATAACACAGTGCCTGAGGCTTTTAACTTAATTGATGCTTTCTAGATGAGCTAGCTTAGAAACATACCAAACATCAATTAGCGGTAATTTAAAGAAAGTACAATTAATTATTTCAGTGTTGCCAACCTTGGGTGCTCAAGAGAGAGTCACACATTCCTGAGAATAGAAGTTATGAGTTTATTTAGAAAATTACTTTGGGGTTCTTATTGTGCTTTCTGTTTCTCAGCCTTTAAGAAACACTAGGGTCCACTTGTCACTTTTCTCTGCAACTCTGGAGGTTAGAGACTTTTTATGTGGCTCCTGAGTCCCACAGCTCCAGGAGATGGAACTTTTAGAGGAGAAAAAAGCTAGGTAGGTGATAACATTGTGAGGATTGGCAACACTATTATGTCCATCAGACTAGGACCAAATTATTGTCACATAAGCAGGAGAGCAGGATTTTTCATCTTAACTAAGATAGGCTGACATGGTACTGTACCTCGGAAACCTTGGGCCTGCATAGGCTTTGTTCCAAGTTCTGCGTTGGGCATGTTATGCTGCTGTAGCTTCCTTTTTGCTTCTAGGACAGGGTTTTCAAATTGTGTTCTTCTATTTATGTGGCTGGAAAAAATTTGGTTTTGATTAAAAATTGGGTTCAGTTGGGGAAAATTACTATTTTCACAGTAGGATGTTGTATGTGACTTAGGTGCGTGTGGTTAGATAGTGAAACAGTCATGAAACCCCAATGGGCCTGAGCATGTCCCTTATACTCCATGTAATTTTGGTGGGGATAAGAAATGTACCATCTATGAGCATCACATAATGAACAACACTGGAGAATGCCCTATCATTTCAATATGTTGAACTCTGCTACAGGCAAATGGTTTTGATATATAGACTGCATATTAAATTGCAGTACCGCTGAAGCATGCTACAACAACAGTTTTTCATGTCTTCCGTACAAACATTGTTCTGTGCATGATTCAAAGGGACTGAACCATTTTTTTTTTTTCAGCATTATTGATTAGCTTCAAATGAAATTACTTACTCACTTACAGAAAATGTAAAGCCTGACACAGGCTTTTAATGAGTGTTTTAATGATCACTGCTTAAAAAGGAAATGTATGTAGCACAGGAAAGTGACTGAAAATGAATTCTGTTTAATTCGATGTTATATATCTGCTAAGCTGTAAAGAAAAATGGGATGTTGTAGAAACTAAGTCAGATGGTAGATTAAAACTATACATATAAATAATGAACTATAAGAGAAGTTAATGCTGTAGACTTTTTTTCTTGATATATTACATTTCCTATAGCTGGTCAATTAGTACATATCTGTCATTACACCACTAATTTTCTGCATTTTGTTTAGAAATACTATCCTAACTACTTACCCTAATCATACCATAGATTTCAATTATTTAATTTAAACCATACATTTTACCAATCAACAAGTAATCCTACAATCCCTTGACATTTTTCTCACTTTTTTTGAAGAAGGCAAAACAATTTAGTAGGTGGCACTGAACAACTCCACCAGATATGTTTGTGACAGTATCAGTTGAGAAAAAGGGTTTTATGCTGCAAATAGATATATGTATTTATTTATATATTAGAAATATATACATATAAATACATATAAATTACATAAAAAAGGTAAGTTCTCAAACATATCTCTCCTTATTTGTTCTTACTGAGTTACTCTGTATTGAGTTTTTTGAAAATTCAATCCTGATCCTGGGCTTTAAGCATTGGAGAGGTGACCTGGGAACTTTTGAAACTCTAAGATTCTAAAAGGGGTTGAATTCCTTCTATTTATATTGAAACAACCTTTTATGCCCAAACATTAAGCACTTTTCCCTCAGGATTCAGATCCTAACACTGCTTCAAACAAAATAAGTAGAATTGCCGTTAAGAAGGAGTTGAGGGAAAGCAGTAAGTCCTATGACAATGTAACACACTTGGAAAACAAGGATTCCTGCAATGAAAAGATTTTCAGTCATGTAAAAGTATATTTGATTTAATGACAGGAAAAATATGTGATAAAATCTGGAGTTGCTATTTTGTTAACATGGCTATCTCTCATTCAAGGGGTTGCTAACTCACTCTCTTTTACTCTAAAGTTTTGATTAATAGCTTTATAAATTTTATTCTATGCTGCAGAAAGAGAAGATTCCTTTTGTTTCTTTCCTTCTTCAGACTGGCTGTTTAATATCGCAGGCTTTGCTTTCCTAGGCTTTAAACCATGCTGTAATTGTCAGGGTCTTCATTGCTTTTGTCTATTACAAACCTAGAAATGTATGTTGGAAGGGAGAGAAACTTCATCAGTTGGAAATGGAGGAAGACAGGACTATCATGCATTAAACGATCACAGGGTAGTTATGAACTACTGATACAAGCCTGAAAAAGGTAGTAATCATGGTACTACCTATCATGTGATGTATTCCTGTACTGTAAAGGAAGTACTTTTTTTTTTTTTTTTTTGCCAATGAAAAGGAACATGTGAAACGTCGTATGAAATACTAGATAAAGTTCTGATCACCCAATAAAATAAAATGAATCCACAGCAAAGGTTTTACATGAAGACCAGTGAACGAGAGTATCCCATAATAAAGCACCAAAGGAATTTTGATTTTTTATTCAAGTGGAATGAATGCTGATATATTATTGCATTCTATGAAAATATTTGGAAGTAAATAGTGGAATATATTAAAGGTGTCAGGATTTCAGTCTTGAAATCTGTAGGCTTCTTACAAGCAGGAGTGTGAAATTATGAAACAGCTTCCAATAGAAGATATGGGGTAAAATGTCTAGCTCGTTTTATGATGGCATTTGATAACATTGAAAACAGGCTTGTTACATAGTATGTTGAGTTAGTTGCCGAAACAAAGGGATCAAGCACTATTTTAGAGGCTCTAAAGTGTCTTACCCCAGTTCTCAGCCGCCCTTCCCGAACAGCATGGGTATCCCTGCTCTTCTGGGCATGGGTATCTGCCATGCTTTTAGAAGAGCATGGATATCCCATAGCTTTTGTCCAATATAATGCAGATATAATGGCTATTTCAAATCACACTATACACATGCATTTAGGACCTTGGAATATTCTTAGTGCCTTGCTGTAACTGCAGGGCACATTTCACTGCCCTACATTACAACTTACATGCAGTTCTGTGGTTAAAAAAAGAGGGATTTTAGCCAATATAGGATGTCGCCATGACTCATGGAACATCCTGTGGTACTGACATGACAGCTAGTATCTCTTATCAGCTCCTTCTCAGCAGTTTCTAGTTGCAGTTTAAGTTGCAGTATAGTTTATTTAGACAGAAATATCTTCACTAATGGTTATCTTGAAAGTGACCTTTTTGTCCTAACATATCAGACAGGAAGACGAGCAGAGATATGAGGCACCTCAGGGTGTTGATGCAATCTTAATAATTCTTAGCTCCAATTGATTCCTCTATTTTGACTGTTTTGTAGTAGTGCCAGTTCAAAAGCACAATGTGAATATTCCAACAAATTCATACAACTACATTAAATACTAAGTCCAAAAGGAGTTAGAGAAAAGAAAATTATATAGAAAATTGGTCCTTTTTATCAGTCAGTTACGCTGGATTTATGCTCCTAGACCGATGAGACAAGAAGCACCTACCTATCATGCAATTTTAAGCGCTCTACAGCTCCATGGCTAAAACAGAAAAATTGCTACTGATGAGTTTAGCTGGGAATGAAGTTATTAAGCTAAGTAGTTCCCTTGAAAGGACATTCTAGCCTTTCATCTAGCTACTTCAGCTGCATACAAAATAGGTATTACTAACCTAGGCCTTAATAAGACAATCTAAATGTCAGTTTTAGAGATGGTTACAAATAAGTGCTTTGGTGTTTGAAATAGATTTTAGATGTGATCCAAAAGATGTATAGCTCATTACCCACAGTATGTAATTCAGTGAGTATTTCTTTCTTCACTTGAAAATTTTCTAAATACCTAAAGCTTCTCTTCTGATGTTGTCTAGTGCTCTTCTTACCTAAACATTCCATCTCCCCTCTTCTCCTAACTGAGGTCCATAACAAAAACAGAGGGCTGCATGTGATCCCAAAGGTAGGCACTCCTGGAGTATATCTAATACATACCAGTGGATAGGACCTCCTAGAAAATTGCAGATTTTTTTTTTTTTTTTTTTTTTTTTTTTTTAGGACAGATCTGGAGAAAACTGAGAAAGATGTTGCTATCTAAATGTTTTTTTCGACCATTAACATTTTCATTTATTTATTTATTTTTTTACTCCTGATTCCACTTTTCTTCCTTTTTAAAAATAAAATAAATATTAAATTCCTTTTTAAAAATAAAATAAATATTAAAATATCACAAAAGTGATTCCACTTTTCTTCCTTTTTAAAAATAAAATAAATATTAAAAATAAAAGACTAATCCAAAGATAAAAATACAACTCACTTCTTTTAGTGCTGTAGCGACCGTATAGAAGAATCGTGCCGCCTTTTGTTTGCTTTCTGGCCCCCAAATACTTGAATATCTCTCTGCAGAGAAGAAGGGGCAGTCAATGCTACTGACCCTTGTTAGCCCACAGTGTGCTAGCTGGGAACAACGCCTAGGTGGTAGGATTTGGTTTGGGGCTGCATTTAGCTGCAAGGGTGAAATAGTGACAAAGAGGTATGGTCACCACAAAATATCACGTAAGATATAGGCACCATTCCGCCAGCTCGTCACTGAATGTGACCAGGCTATTTTTTTTTTTTTAATGATGGTGTTTCACATTAGATGTGCTTAAGACAATTGATATACTTTCTGTAGAAATTTACATGCTTTAATGTAGATTTAAGTATGCAGATTTTAGTTGATGGCTATGATATTAGCCCTGCCACAATGGTAGCCCATCTAAGCGTATGCACCAGGAGGAGGATTCTAACCTATTCATTTTCTCAGCTACTTTAATGTACAGTTGTTTATTAGTAGTTTGTGGCCTAAAATGCACCAAAGTAATTCTGAGGATCAGAATGCCTAAAAGACAGACATTCTGATGCATAATTTGTTACTCAGTCCTCTTTACTTTCACAGTTTTTCAGTTATGAATATTTTATAACAAAAAAAACTCGCGAAAGAAGTTTTTCTATTTGAGCAGGAACAGGTGTTGTCAGAAATCATAAGTGAAGGAGGTATATTTTTCCAGAATAAATACCTGTATGGACAATTTAGCTGTTCTATTAAGGAGGCCATGTCAGGAAATTGAACTTTGCATTGTATTTAATCATCCTTAAAGGGGGAAATAATCTTTTGGCAATTAGAATACTGAAAGACCCAATGCACTCTAATAACCACAATCTCTCTGTAGCCTTGCACAGCTAAGTGCTGCTAGTTTTTAGTTTATAAATTAAGAGAAAATTGCATGAAAGTTAACCCACATATAGCAAACACTTCTCATTTGTGTCAGATGTCTATACCTTACAAATCAAGCTTGGATTCGCATAACAAGGCAAATGAAAAGTTTAATAATGTCTTGAACTTACATTCATGCTTGATTTATGAGAGGAAGTTATACCAGGGACCTTATTTTATAACAGAATTTGCAAATGTGGTGCAATAAGTCTTTTTTTAACTTTGATAGCCTTCAAGATTTTGTTTATTTGCTTGATTTTAGCTTCTTCTTTGGTCACAGGATACTGGAGATAAACATGTCTGACCCTTTGGTCACAGGATACTGGAGATAAACATGTCTGACCCTTGTAAGGTGAAACTTAATCTCTCTACTGCATTGTTCTTCCTTACAAATTTCCCATGTGATATGATTTTTTCAGTGAGCAGACTACGAGCCGTTCTTTTGATCACTGTTTTGAAAACCTGCATATGAAGTTGGACTGGACTTGAATGTGTGAAAGTTCATAACCTAGCTTTCCATGATTTACCCACTTTTATGATATAATTAAGAGAGTTTATTGTTATCTGATTTTATCTAGCTAAAAATGAACTCATCTGTTGAATACTGGTAATAAAAAAGGTGTAACTGCCACTTTTTAGAATGAAAAACGGGAAGCAATTTTTGTTTCAAACTTACTGAGCTCAAACAGCAAATTAAAGTACAACTACATTTTACTGTCTATAAAACTCCTTATGAACTTAGAACTGCTGCAGTTTTAATGCCATCCTGTGAACATCCATTCCACTTCTAAAAACCTCTGAGACTACAGTAAGTTTGATATATTTTTTCACAAATCTTGTCTGTAGTAGGATGAACAAACTTGGCAGTAACAGCCTTGAAATATATAATCACATAATAACATCTGGGCCAGGTGCCTTGCGTCTGCTTACCTGTGGATGGACATGAAATAGAGATGAACATTTGCTCCTTTTCTTGACTATGCAGGGGAAGTGTGAATCTCACCAGAGCCAAAATGCCTTGGGCTGCACTAACACCAAAGTGGGGCTCAGTAAGAGATTAATGCGCAGAAGTTGCACAACACCTGTTACTCACCAAAATACACTGAAAACCACCGGGACAGAAGACACTTACACCCAGCAGCTGCATAATTGTATTTTCGGAAATCTTCGGGGGGGATTAAGCACAAAGAGATACGTGAACTCCAACCCCTAACTACTCTGGGGCATCATAAAAGATCTCAGGCATAAAGAGAGTAATTTGATGGCGTTACTTAGGGAGTTCAAAAACTTACCTTTTGGTTGAGAGAAATAGGAATCTGAATTGACTAAGCTGGCTTGGGCTGAGCAGGAGAACAGATTGGGCTGCTGGCTTTTTCACCTGAGGGCACAGAACCATCCAGGGGGAAAAAGCAGCAGAGCGGATGCTATTGCATTTGGAGAATGTGACAGAAGGACTCAGTGGGGCAGTGGCCAGACACAGTTTCCGTTTGTTTGTTTGCTTTGAATGAGGGCTAGGGAAAGTGATTGGGCACTTACAAGCTGCTACTGTTATAACAGTGAAGAAAGCGTATCTTAGAGCTACGTCTTCTAACCCTCCTGAAATAAGATTTTTTGTTGTTGCTTTGGTAATTTCTCTATCCAGCTCTACCCTGTGCTATTAACTGCTACATATTCTGAGGTCTGGAAAATCTGCAGCTCCATTATCTGACCAGAGTGGTCTTGCAAAATGTTGGTATAGATTCAAGAGACCAAGAGAACAATGTGACACACAAACTAATATTTTCCATTTTGTATGAAATCTCTGGAGTAAATGTACTGCTTTGTGTTAGGATCTGAAACTGAGATTTTAGGTCAGGTACCATCCTCTGTAAAGATCTCTCTTCTTTAATAAAAGGAAGTAATAGATAGATCTTTCTCAATTCAAATAGTCTTTAAATGTGCTGTCTGCACAGAGATGGGGAGTGCCTTTTTCAATCCTCTATTATATACTTTGAGTGGCCTTTGATAGGAGAGAATAGTGGGAGTAAAACTGACCACTCTGAGAGGGTATCACAATTGGAATCTACATTCACTTTACATAAATCTGATTGACTGTGTTAAACTAAAAAGCATAGAAAATCATCTCTCTGATTTACCTATTTTATGCAGTAACTAGCTGGAACAGGTTCTACCTATCAGTCAAAAAAAAGCTTTCTACTGCCCTTTGCACAGAGCAGTAAGGATGGCTTTCTTTCCTGTTTCACAACTAAAATAAAATATGAGAAATGAAAGCAATGATTGTGCTGTGAAAATAAAAAAATATATATTCTCTTATTTTCAGGTGCACTTTTAAGTACAGAATAAAACACAACATACACAGAATTTTACAATGCAGAATATAAATAACCTGCCTTCTGGTACAAACAGTGAAGATCTGATTTGCAGAAAAGAAGGACAACCCAGAAAGGGATCTTAGCTAAAATGATTATGCTTTGCTTTTATTCATTGATTAACAAGATCTGTACCTCACTGGATATCCAAACCTTACACAGACTATACAGCAATATTTCTTAAATGAATACAATCTTTTGTACAAGTATCAACTGGATTGTTACCATGAAATCACACCCTTGAGAAACAAAGTGATTGAATGACTGAATCACTGATTTGAGACACACTGAATACATTTGGCCACATTAACTGTATTGATGACTGAGAATTCCTGGTATACCTTCATTTTAGCATGTCAAGTAATTGTACCCATGTCTTGCCAACTAAGCACAGTAGAGGATGCTAGTATTAGGTTATGACATATTAACAGCAACTTAATATTGAACTTGGGAACTTACTCAACATAATAAGTGCCATAAATGGGATCATCAATTTTCTCCCAGCCATATGGAAGCTCTGAAAAACAAAGAATTATCTGTCTCAGTAAATGAATTACAGAATGCTAAGATTTCTGATAGTGAAACAGTGGATCTTTGCTAGATGTTGAGGGAAATAACTGGATAGTGAATTCAGATAAAATCACCAAAGCAAATGCAAAATATTGAACACACTCCATGGTGGCCACAATTAATATTAACTTGAAAACTGGCATGCAAACAAATATCTCAGTCTTGAGAACAACACATTTGATTGAACAACTTCAATGTTCCAACAGCTGTGCCAGCCAACAACAGTAGCATATCTTGTATGACATCACTGCTGAAGAAAGAGGGGGTATTCTGTTTTTTTTCAAATAGGTGTACACACAAAAACACTGTGCTTTGCTTTTTGAGCTTTTTTTTTTTTTTTTTTTTTTTCACTGCTATGAATCCTAGAAAAATTGGTCTCAAACAAATGAAAAGAGTTTGCTTCCTGTCTCTTAATTATAGTAAGTATGTCTAAATGTTCCTGAGAGATTTGTCATATTTATCTTACTGTCATGGCAATTCCATGGCCTCCAAAGGCATGCTGCTGCAAAGCTTAATTCTATATCTGGGACCTCACAGTATATAGAAGTACGCAGAAACACAAACTGAAATAAGATATTTTCAGCAACTTTCAGCTTTAGAAGTAATTGATTTTTACAGAAATAGAGAAGACACCTAAAACACTCAGATATTAACAATTAAAATATTAAATATGTTGATTTAATGAGCTTGAAAGTAAATCTGTATTAATGTACAAGCAAACATGCATAAGTGAACATACATACATAAACATATTTTATTATCACTCACAATGAGCACTTAAAATTATTACAATGCCAACAGAATTTCACATAGGATTTAAAAAGCACCAGACACTTGTGACAAATATCTCACTCAACATGAACAGAATAAAAACCTCAGTGCCAGATGGAGGAAACATGCAAAAGGATGGACATTACCATCAGGCACAGGTATTGATATCTATGCAGTTAAGGACTGGCACAATATACATGGAATGGTACTGAGATTCTATAAATAAATTTGATTCTGGAATTCCTTATGTCAATATTTCTTCCTTTGAATTATATCTCAGTTATACTTTTAAAGTCACTTTTTGGAGACTGTAAGAGTATGAAACAAGACAGACCAGACCTGATGTAACTCATACTGAGCATGGTCATAAAACTGGTCATAAAGAAGTGCTTCTGGATGACATATATATATATATATATATATATATTTTTTTTTTTTTTTTTTTTTTTTTCCAGTGACAATGTGAATTGACAATTACTGATGTGCTGTAAAAAGCTAAATAAGAAAGTAAGGAACTCCAAAAATTTGGAACATAAAGTTCAAGGACTTCCTTAACATTGATACTCATTTTTTTCTATTATGCTCAGAATATTGTTAGCACTGAAATCTTCACAAACCTGCACTCTGAACTGCTTTCATCGGGGTTGCTTTGTTATAGTCACTTCATAGGAATAAATGCTGCATAAGATATTTAAACAGGCAACAATAACAGAATGGTTGAGGTAGGAAAGGACCTCTGGGGGTCATCTGGTCCAACCCCTTTGCTGAAGGATGGGTCAGCTAAAGCAGGTTGCACAGATCAGTGTCCAGTCGGTTTTTGAATACATCCAAGGATGGACCCTCACCAACCTCTCTGGGCAACATCTTCAATTGTTTGATTACTCACAGAGTAAGTCTTTTCTTACATTTAAGCATGATTTACTGCATTTCAGTTTGTGCCCTTTGAATTTTATCATGTCACTGGACACTACTGAGAACTCTGGCTCTGTCCTCTTTGCAGCCTCCTTTCAGGTGCTCATAGATATTGTTGAGATTCCCCTGAGCTTTCTCTTCTCCAGGCTGAATACTCAGAGCTCTCTCAACCTTTCCTCACAGGAGATGTGCTCCAGTCTCTTCATCATTTTCATGGCCCTTCATTGGACTCTCTCTAGTATGTCCATGTCTCGTGTCGGGGAGCTCAGAACTGGACACGGTACTCCCTCTGCAGCCTCATCAGTGCTGAGCAGAAAGGAGGGATCACCTCTCTAGACCTGCTGGTGATGTTCTGCTGACTGCTGCCCAGGAGGCTGGTGGACTGCTTTTCTGCAAGGACACATTAGCTGGCTAGTGGTCAAGTCACTGAGCATTAGAAAGTCTTGGTGTTCCTGTTTCCAGACCTGCCCAGAACTTCAGTAAAATCTGTAGGAAACTGCCTCTACACTGGTTCCCATAGAGTCCTGTACATCCTGGGACTAATCTGTGAGATGTAATTCGTAAATATTCAAAAAGAAAGCTGCTGATGCACAAATCTGGACTGCCCTTGTAGTAGGTTCTGTTCCTAGTACATTCCTCTTCACAATTTAATATGAAAAAAATTATGCTTTTACCAAATCCTATGACATGGAATAAATACAAAGTATTAGTTTAAATACTATAGGCACATTTTATTTTAATGTAATATTGCAAGGCTTTCTTCATCTAATTAACTTAATGTTGCTTTCATATCTGGCAATCAAAAATTACTTTCCTTTAGAGAAAAGTGCAGCAGGCACCAATAAATTCCATACATACTCAAAAATACACAAGCATGTACACAGACACACTCATACAAACGTATGCATACATCCCTTTCCCAAAGTGAGTTAATCAATGGGAGCTTTTTTCTACAATGAAACTAAAAATATAAAGATGTTTTGCAAAAACATCCTTGTAGATATTACCTTTCTGTAAATATATACTTTAAAGTAAACAGATGCAGAGGATATAATTTGTTTTACATATTCATGAAAATATGAAATAATTTGAGAATTTACTATCCTCAAATGGTCTATTGGTCTATTTTTCCCAAAAGTAATGATACATAACATCATAACAGTCAGTATGGACTGAAAGAACTATTGAGAATGCAAATGGCAAATCCCATTTGCTAGTGTAAAAGCCTGTAAAAATGTATTGAATTGGAGATATTATGGAGAACCCACTTTTAAATGCATGGGTGGAACCACTGATTATCTAACATCATAAAACAGTCATGGGTTCAGAAAAAAAAGGAAATAAAAAATACCTTGGTGTACCATGATAAACTCCATGTAAGGCTATGCTCAAATTTTATTTTATTTTTTTTCCTTTTGAGATGTATCCTGTAAGCTATGTTTAATTAAAATTCTGTGTAGACCAGTAAAATTAAATAGCTAGAATACAAACCCCAAGCCTTCTCCTGAAGTATTGCAGATAAGGTTAGTGGAGTTTGGTTTACTACAGGGCTTCTGCTGAAAGAATCTTCTGCTACATTTGCTTTCAGAAGCAGTGTGATAATTTTTCATGAGATTAAATAGTTCCATTTTTCACTGTTGAAATGAAAGATTACAGGACAGGAATACTTTAATGCTTCATCAAATAGGAAGCTAAGTGTTTGCCAAATTGGGGGTGAGGGCACTGCAGTTTCTATTTTTCAGATCACTGTGCCCAACAATGACCATTAGGGATGAGAGTGAACAGTAAACATTTATAAAAGAGAATTGTTATAAAACCCTTGTGAAGGAGATTACTGTTGGCCATCATGATTTGAATTGGGAAGGAGGATGTAAATTATAGCTTTCTCTGATATTCATTTGATAGCACTAGCACAGAGTGTTCATGTATAATTTCTGCAGCCAACAGTTTCATGGTTACTATGTTATGTATGAAGTCTTCATTTTCATGAGCTTAACACTTCTGTCATTCGTGTTTTTCAGTTCTATTGATTCCAGAATTTCTTTGTATAGCAAAGGTTGGAGTCGATGATCTTGAGCTCTCTTCCAACCTAGACAATTCTGTGATCCTGTGAATTTATTTTTTTTTTTAATCTTCAGTATCTGATATTGCATTCACAAATATTATCACTCATATTATCTGGTGGAGGTCTTTTGATTTCATCATTTAAAAATCAGTAATAGGTTGTGCTGCATTTGGCAATGCTGATACTACAAGTGGATGAAAAGGCATGTATGTATTCTCCAGATTTCACATTTCATAGTTCATCCTTTACCAGAGAAAAAGAATCTAGCTAGCACTGCAGCAGTCATCCAAAAAAAGATCAAAAAGGCACAGCTGACACTCAGATACTTTGCTCAGTATGCATCTGGGCAGGCTTTTAAATGCAGAGTGAGCCACAATTCTAAAAGTTAAATGCCCAGTGATAACAAAGGTCCTTGCAAGAACAAAAGAAGGAAGGAAAGTAAGAAGGAAAAAAAGAGAGGAAAACTAATGTAAACTCAAGCAGGTCATTTTAATAATCAACGGCAGTGCCTCCTCATCACAGCCTGTTTATGCTAATTGTCCAGATGCTCTTATTCTGCCTTCTGAAAGCTGTTGTGTTTCACTATGATTTTTGATGGTGCCACTTAATCTTCTCTGGGGATGGAGGAAGGAATACATTTTGGATCTTGATGTGCCAAGATGAAAAAAAACCACCAAACATATTAACTAAGATTAATTTTTCTGAAGTTTATGTGTTATTAACCACATTAGAGAGTCATAAAATCCTCTCAAGGCTTCAGAACAACAACCAGCATTATGTCACTACCCTACTGACAGCCTGGAAAGAAAGATGAGAGTATATTTCTTGAATCAGCTACAATCAAAATATTTATACAGTAAAAAAGAGTTTAGCATGAGAGGTAAAACAAACAAACAAACAAACCAAAAAACAACACCTACTGTTATTGAAAATCTTGTCAATAAGGATATGGAAACTGTCACAGTCAGCATGAGGTTGGGTCATCTGCCTTTTTAGAACCCATGCACAGGTCAGGAATCCTTTTCTAGCCTGAATTTGAGACTTTTCAGAAAAAATACTGTATCTTTCCACTCAACAGCCCCCTTTTTTCCCCTTTCTTTTGTTTTCTTTCTTCTTTGTTCTTTCTACCTCTTTTGTTGTTGTTGTTGTTGTTGTTGTTGTTGTTGTTTCCTTTTCAAGTCAGTTACCTCTTGCAGAGA